GGGGAGGGGGAGGGAAGGGGTCAAGTTCAGCTCCAGCCCAGCGCACCACCACGGTGCAGAGCCAGGGTGACAGCTGTTCCCAGGGAGATGGATGCCCCCGAAGCAGCCGGCTGCCCCCAGGCAGCTTCCTATTAATAACGGCACTAGCACCTGCCAGAGGTCGAGGGAGGGGCGTGGAGAGGTGGGAGGATGACTCGGTGGGGAATGGCCGCCTACTGTGTGGAAGAGGTGGGGAATGGCCGCCTACTGTGTGGAAGACAGGAGCACCTCGGGGCCTCCTGTGCATGGAGTGCTCTGCCCCAGCTGAGGGGACCCTGCCGGCAGCTAGGGAGAGGCAGAGGAAGGCCCCTCCTGTCCTGGTCTCGGCTGCCTGGACCCTGCAGAGGCCACCGTGAAGTGGGTGGGGTCTGGGCCCTGGGACTGGGGACTCTGCCTCCCGGTGGTTTCTGGGAAACAAAAAGAAAGGTGAGAATGAGGGAGGGCAGGAGAGGGGGGGAGGGCAGGAGAGGGCACACAGGCGGCTGCAGACCCACCTGCCGCCGGCTGAGCCCTGTCCTGCAGGGCAGAGGTCCTCGAGGGGCAGCGGAGCTGCCAGTTGAACAGCTGAGCTGTTCTCTCTCCCAGGAAAAGAGCCCCTGTCACCGTTATTTTTAGAGGAAACAGCGCTCTGCCACCTCCTGGGACACCTTCTGTTCCCAGCAGACAGCAGCTCCCTGAAGCTGACAAGCGAGGACAGCCCTGTCACCCTGCCCAGGCTCTGCTCGCCCACCTTGGCCCGGGTCACTCACCAGGCCCTCCATGGCCAGCTTGGGGGTCATGCTGGTTCCCCTCCCCAAGCCCTGCCCAGCCTCTGTCCTCTCACTCCATCCTGCCTCCCACTGGCCCAGCAGCACCCAGCCCTGCTCCAGCAGCACCCAGCCCTGGCCCAGTAGCACCCAGCCCTGGCCCTGCAGCACCCAGCCCTGGCCCAGCAGCACCCAGCCCTGGCCCAGCAGCACCCAGCCCTGGCCCTGCTCTGACTCCTCGTACATGCCCCTGACAAGGGGCTTTGGAAATCCCCCAGGTGTGGTCCACCCCGCCGCCCCCTGCCCCGCACAGCCACACCCAGCTCACCCCCCTGACCTTCCCCACAGACAGGCCCACCCCAGACAGGCCTCCCTCACCCATTGGCCCAGTCTCAGGCCCAGCCCCTGAGGGCTCCGGTTGGGGCTGGAGTTGGGCTGGAGGCCTGAGCTGACAGGATGTCATTAGCAGGTTCCTAACTGGGCCACGCTTCCTGGCTGTCAGGACACGTTGTGCACTGTGCCAGGGAAATGTCACGCTCCTTGTATCTCGCTGCTGGAGTCAGGGGACCCAGCACTGGGGACCTGTGAAAAGTCACACCCTCCGCCCCCAGTGCCCCCCAGCACCTCTCTGCACCTGCCACTTCTGGGTTGGCAGGTGTGGTGCAGGGTGCCATGGCCTCTGTGACCGTCACCCCAGCCCCCGGTGGCTTTCAGCTTGCAGGAGGGGGAGCAGAACCCGTCTCTGAGCAACTTCTCAGCTGGGCCCTGGGCTGGGCAGGAGCCTCAAGGCCACGTGAAGCAGGGCCACCATTGTCAACAAAGACGTGGGGGCTGCCGGAGGTCACAGAGCTGAACCCCAGCAGAGCTGTGCTTAAAGACTGGGTCTGGACGGTGCCTGCTGGGTCCCCTGAGTGGAAGCTGTCCTTTGTCTGACTGGGGGGACCTGAGTGGGCATTTGTGGGTGGCGGAGCTGGTAAGGGGTGCAGGCAGAGGAGCTGGGTCTGAAGCAGTCTGAGGGGTTGGACGTGGGGATCCCTGTGCATGCAGGAGAAATTCAGCTGCACAGGCTGAGGGTTTATTTCCGGTGAAAAGGAAGGACCCAGCCCGAGCAAGAACCCGAGAGAGAAGAGCAGGGTCTTGCGAGAAAAAAGAAATATTCCAGTCTCTGCCTTTCCTCGGCAAAGTACAGCCGGGATGGCCCCAGCCAGCTTTGAAGAGCACGTCCAGGAAGGCCCTGGGGTCAGGAAGCCGGGTGGGTGGGGTCCTGGGTCCTGCCCAGAACCTCCGTCAAGACACACTGCCATGTCCACTCTGGCCCCTAGGGGGCGACTGCCCTCCCTCCAGACCGGAGCAGGCCTCCCCAGGCTCCCGGAGAGAGGTGGAAACTTTGCTTTTTCTTTAGTCAGATTTATTATCGAAGCAACTTAAATTGGCTTCAAAGTAAGTTAAATGAGAGAGTTCTTTACCCCCAGCCTCATAAATCAAGGGGCACACAGAGAAAGGGGAACAAAGAAATCACAGGCGCCCGGAGACAGATGGGCTTGCAAGGCCCCAGGAGGAGGACCGACAGGTGTCCTGGCCTCTCTCCCTCCTCGGTCAAAAGCGTGGCCAGGGCCTGCTCCTCCTCCTCCTCCTCCTCCTCTCCAAGCTCGGGGTGGGTGAAGTCTTTGTCCTCCCTTGGACAGCAGCACCCCAGAGGCGGGGTGAGACCGCCTTGGGGCGTCTGTGTGGTGGGCTGGGGGCTGGGAGGGGGTCTGGTTGAGAGGCCCTCGGAGGCTGCTCTCAGGGCATGTCTGCAGGGCTTGGTGTCCCTGGGTGTGCCCACACGAGTGTGTGTGTGTGTGTGTGTGTGTGTGTGTGTGTGCGCGCGCGCACGCGCACCTGAGCATCTGCAGGGCTTGGCCTGGAATATCAAATCCACTCTGGATAGAGAGGCACCGCTGGCTGCCTGGTCTGTTCCCTGGCTGCAGGTGTCACCTCGGTGCTGAGCTGGCTGCAGCCCAGGGCAATGTGGGGGCTCCTGCCCTCCCCAGCAGATCCTCCCCTGACACCCCGTCCTCCTGCTCTGCAGGCCACTTGGACCCACTGCCCAGGGCCAAGCAACGGGCAGCACCCTTGGGAGCGAGGTCAATGGCCAGCTGAAAGACAGGGCCGCATGGGAGTGAGGCCCAGGCCCCCCAAGAGGCAGCGAGGGACATAGAGAAGGGGTAGCGAGTGCCAGAGGAGGGAGACCAACAAGACAGAGGGGCAGGAAGGCCACTGAGCAGCGCCCAGAAAGCAAGAGGGAGGCAGGGCCCAGGCACCAAGCAAGAAAGCAGAGAGGGCGGACCGGAGCTAGGGACCGGAGTCTGGGGACCCGGAGGCGGGCGAGAGGCTGGCTCTGGCCCCGCGGGGGCTGCTGACACCAGGGCGCGGGCTGACTTGTGATTTCAACCAGGTCCTCCGGCTCCTCTGCGGAAAAGCAAACCCTGCTACTGTCCCTCACCGTCTGTCATTTCCATTTTGCTTTTGTCTTCAGAATAAAGAGAATCAGAAACTCCTGAGGGGGATTTTACCATCTGACTCCCAACCCTGCGCCCGCCCTGCCCTTTCTTCATTCTCCTCTGCTCTGGGCATCTTTGTCCCAGGGCTGTCCCGGGCCTGGCCCTGGTGTGCAGGGGCCTCTGTGGGCTGTCCTCTGGAGGGTCTGGGTCTCTCGCCTCCTCCCCCAATACCCCCTCCCCCATGCCCCTCCCCCGTGCCCCCTCCTCTCCTGCCCCTTCCGGCCTCTCCTGGGCTCAGCCTGCAGATTGACAGGGCCCATAAATCACCAAGGCAGGGCAGGGAGGGAGAGGGGCCAAGTGCTGACACAGCCCCAGCCTCAGAGTCAGGGTTCTTGGGCTTGTGCGCACCGTGAGGGTCTGAGCCTGTGGCTTTTCCCCCTCCCGGTTCCATGAGGCATCCCGGCTACAAGGCCAGTGTCATACGCCCTTGTGCCAGTGTTGTCCAGCTCCACCGAAGGAGGGACAAGAAGAAAGAGGCTGAATAGAAAGCCAGTGGGATTTAGGTTAGACGGAAGGAACAACTTACTTTGATGAGGATGACATTGGAATGGGAAATGGTGAAGTCCCTTGGCAGGGAGTTCGTAAAATCAGGATGGGAGGCTCTTTGGTTCCAACACTCTGAACGGCTTGGACCTCCTGCGGCATCTACCTGTTCAAGTCCTGGAGATCAGCCACCCCAGGACCTATTCTCTGCCTACTGCTGTCTCTTTCTGAGCCATGTAATGCTGCTATGAGTTTTTTAATTTAAAAAAAAAAATCCTTTTTTGCCATAAATGGAGAGGAATTTAATGTGTGCCACCTCGTCTCAACCCAGCAGCTTTATCTTTGTTTTGAGAATGTGGCAGCGGCGCTCCGGGGGCTCCGTGCTTGCTGGAGGCACACAGGCCATATGGAGTGCAGGAAAGGGACCTAGATGACCACCGGTGACGAGTGGCTTTGTAAGTGTGCATCTTCCAAAATCAGAGAAAGAGAGAGAGAGAGAAGCTGCAGTCCCAGGGTGACGGGGCACGGGGTCTTTCCCCACGCGGCCCTTGCCAGAGGCATGATGAATGCCAGCAAGCCCGCCACATGGCGCGCTCCCCACCACCTCCCAGGACGCAGCCACGGCAGACACGGCCAATCAATCACGGGCTTCTTCATGCTGAGCTGGGATGCGGCTCGGAGTTCTGGCAAGCCGCACAGCTTTGGTTTTATAAAAGGAAACATTTGCCATCTCTGTGGCGGGACCAAGTTGTCCTGGGGGTTCCCTCCTGGGGGGCGGGGAGCAGCAATAGCCTCAAGCCTGGGCTCGAAACCCTGTCCTTGAAACCTAGGCGGCTGACGCGGCTCTGACACAGGAAACACAGGAAACCACTCAGCCTCAGAGGCTGGCCTTCTAGTGCCGGGTCTCCTGCCCCCTCACAGGTGTGCAGAGGCGCTGGAAAGCTTTGGATGCGCGGTCGCATTTGTCCCAGCTGCCAGACGCGGAGCAGGCTGGTGACGGGGAACCGACAAGGGCGCCAGGTGTTCAACCAGCTGGAGACCAAGGTGTGTTCCTGGGAGCACTGCAGGTCCCGGCTCAGGTGTGTTCCAGGAAGGCTGCGGAACCGCGGCACCAAGGACCAGCCATGGGGAGAAGATAGGCACTGGGCTGGGGGGGGGGCAGGGGAGGAGAGAGGAGGAAGCTGTGAACCCGCTTTTGTCCCGATCCCAGGGCTCTGCTGCGGGATCCCAGCCTCTCACCTCTTTTCCTGTTGGATTCACTGCTCCCTGGGGTCCTGGGGTCCAGGAGGCACAGGTTACAAGTAGATCCACACTTACACCTGCCAGGGCCCCACCGAGCTGCAGGCAGGCAGAGAGATTAGCGGAGACACAGACCCGTGTTCAGACAGCTGCCCTCCACTCACCTACGAGATGGGCTGCTTGTCTCCGTGAGGACGTGGGCAGTGACCCTGGCCTTTCCCTAGCGTCACACTCTGCCGTCGGGCTGCGGACCAGTTCTCAACCTGGCAATTCCCCCTCTGTCCGTGGGACTCCGGGGTGTCTCCCTCAGTGGGGAGGGGGTGCACGGGGTCTCCCACCCTGGACCCTGCTCCTGCAGCATCCCCTGTCTGGCCCTCTCTCTCCACGCCTGTGCCATCCAGATAGCCCCAGACTGGCTCTCCGTTTAATTTCATTCCGTGTGGTCCCTTCCTGCCAGACTTCCTCCGACGCCACTGCGGGAGGGGGCCCGAGAGCCGTCCTGCGCCTTCCTGGAAGGACGGGCCTTCCCTGGGGCCAGTGAGCCACTCACCAGGGGCAGCAGCCATCTGGGCAGCGTCCTGCTCCTGGCCCTGGTCTCGAATGTGTAATTAGCTTCCTGAGCAGGGAGACCAGGGGACGCTTTTAACTCTGCTTCTGCCACCAACGGCCAAGGGTGACCTTGGGGAAGTCCGCAGCCAGGCCTGGGACGCAGGGCTCTGAGGGATGGGTGTCAGGGCACAAGTCAGGGAGGCAGGGCTAACTCCTGTGGCTGTCCCGTCCGCTCAGGGGGCCGGCTCCCTGCCAGGCCTGGTCCTGAATATCAGCCACTCGACACCAATAGACTTTCCATCACACAAATCACGAGAATGCCGTCGGACCGCGGTTCCTCACAGAAACCTTTGGGGCCAAGTGCACGCGATGTTGAATTTTATTTTAGATTTTAGAAACACAGCGTTCTCTGTATTTATGAGCTACTCCAAACATTCGTATTTCTGTAGAGAAATACATATGAATAATCCTGGTGAGTGGGATAAACAGAGACTCTAAGTACCTCCAAGGTCAGTTCAGTTCAGGTTTTGCTGCCAAATGAGTTTTCAAAAGCTTTTTGGTCCTCAGAGCTCTGGGGGGTGTTGAGATGGTGGAGAAGCGGGGAGGGGCTGTCCAGCTCCTGGGCTCCGGGCAGGCCCCAGGCCAAGCGCTTCCTACGGATGCATACATTAAAGGCTCCTAAGAGCTCTGAGGTCGGTTCTATTCTTGTTATCCTGCCATCAGGAAAGAGGAAATCCAGGCACAGAAAGGCTAAATAACTCGCCTAAGGACACACAGCTCGTAAGAGACAGAGCTTGGGTTCAAACCCCTCAAGTCAGAAGCCTGCCGTGGTCTCCTAGTGGGGTGAGCCCATGGGGAGGCTGGGCTTTAGCAAGCAGAGCCTTACAGAAGCTTACTAAGGCCAGCCTCCTGAGATCTGGTGGGCCCTGTCTTTCCTTCCCTCATCTGCCCCTTTCTGTGGAATCTCTTGACAGGAAGAGGCCAGCTCTTCCTGCCCTCTGGCCCAGGAAGCATAGGACCACTTCCCGGGTGGGCAGCATCTGGATCCAGCACCCCAGCTGAGCTCAGCCTCCTAGGGCAGCAGAGGCACATGGAGCAGACTCCTCCTGTTGGCCAGGAGTGCTCGATAGACACGGAGCACTGGGACCTGATCGCTGCCGGGCTGGGGCTCATCCCCCTCGCCCAAGCCATTACCAGGCGGGCAAACGCTCTGGGTGCCAAGAATGGATGAGCCGCTCCCTCCCAGAGACGGGGCCTCCGCTGACAGATGAAATCTTCATTATGATGATTTTTATTAGGGGTGTGTTTTTGCACACACACACACGCGATGCAGACACATCTGGGGCCCAGGCGCCGCTGAAATCCCCACCAATGTGGCTCATGAATATTCCACGGCGGTGCCCGCCACACTTTGCAGTCATCGATTATTTATTCGTGGAACAAGGAAAGCTTCATAAATAATGAAAGCACTGCGTCCCAGCTGTGGCCCAGGTGAGGAGATGGGCCCTGGGGTCCGCGGGAGAGCAGCAGTGTTCCCGTGGTGCTGCCTCGCAGACCAGATCCCAGCCCCTCCTAGGAGGGAGGCTCGCGTGTCTGGGAGCAGGTGTGAGCGCGTGCGAGCGCTCCCTTGTCCACTGGAGAGCGTCTGCACACACTGCACAGAGCGCCTGGCCTTGTCTGTCCTGGAAATTACAGAAAGGCTCTGCTGGGCGGGGAGAAGTCTCCTTTTACTCCCAAGCTGGGAAAACGCGGGCTATGTCCTAGTTAAATTCTGTACAACCTCAACCTTGGGGCTGTTGACTCAAGGTATTCTGGTGTCGGATTCACCAGGGAAAACTGTTGGAGGTACTTTTTCCTTACGTCACCCCTTTCCATACACAGCAGGTCTTCAAGGGACAGAGGAAGCCTCCGATCGACCTCGTCTCTCTCGTTGGGTTGCTTCCCGGTAAAGAAACCTGCTCTGTCTGGCTAGCACGGGGCCAGGCGTGGGCATCTACGTAAAGGGGGGCACATTTCCCCTGGGACAGTGAACGGGGGAAGGAAGTGCGTGGACTGTATTGATTGGAACATTGAGTTCTCCATGCGAAGCAGAAGTTAAGTAAAATTCAAGCAGGGGTTGTTCCTGGTGAGACAGAATCACTTAGGGGAGCTTAGGGAAAAAAAAGTTAAATTAAGCACCTTCATTTCAAGATGATTATAGATTTACCTGCACTTGTAAGACAACGTTGGTATCATGCACAACTCTACCATGATATCACACCAGGAAATTGACAATAGAGTCTGCACTCAGTGCAGTCCTGAATCGTGTGTGCCTATGGTTTGCATATGGGACACCAGTCAAGACACACAGCGGTCACATTGGCCCAAGGACCCCTTGTGTCACCCGCATGTAACCTCAGCCACCTTTCCCTGAGCTGTGCTCACACCCCAAGCCCACCCCTGACTCCCAACAACCACCGGTTTCTCTGTGTCCACAATGGTTATTTTGTGGGTGTTACCTAAGTACAACCATGTCACCTTTTGGGACTGACTTTTTTTATGCACGAAGGGTAATCCCCTTAAAATGCATCCTGATTGCCAGGTGTTATCAGTAGTTGGTTCCTTTTTGTTCCACGGCTCGGATGTGATTCTGCGGAGTGGACGGAGCAGTCTGTTTACCGGGGAACTGCTGGAAGATATCTGAGTGGTTTCCTGTTTGGGGCTCTCACAAATAAAGCTGCTATTGATGCTGCCTCACCACGGGCCTCGGTTTCTCCCTCTGCCGCACCTCGCCCTCTGGCCCCCTGGGTAGAGAAGGACGTCTGGCAGGAAGTTGGGTTCTTAACACAAAGACCTGGGCTCCTTGGCAGCAGGGAGGAGCTCCTGCCTCTGAGCTGCCTGTGACCCCAGGAGGGTGGGCACCTCGGGGACAGCATTTCCCTCTGCGGTTCCTGCAGCAGAAACTGCTCAGATGTGAGGTTGAGCTCGGCCACCGGCGCCATCCACGGATCTGAGAGGAAGGGCGACTTGGGGGTGAAGTAATCGGACACCTCCAGGCCCGTCCTCCTCCCCACCCCACCCGATGGCCTGTGGCCCTGCTCCTCTCTCTCCCCCAGGGTCTTCCTGGGGAAGGGGAGTTGGACCCTCTGTTTCCAGACCAAGGCTGGCGTTATTTAATGCCAAGTCGGTAGAAGCGTCAGCAGCCTGCCGCTGAACTGCTTTGAGGAAGGATTCATAACCCCAAGCCGGGCACCGGGCACCCCATCCCCACGGCCCACCCGCACTGGAGAGGAGATAAATTACTGCCATCGCTTTTTATGGTACATATAATCGGGTGGCAAGATGGCACCTCGACTCATCTCGGAGTCGTTTACCATGAATTATTCATTTGACTGAAAAACGTCTTCCGCTGGTGGGGGAAATGGCCTCTCTCCTCCCCGGCCTTGGGGAGGGCCTCCTGGGCTGGGAGATCCGGGGCTCCCGGGTGCCCTCCGGGCCTCAGAGTCCTGGAGTGTGGGCCAGGGCCCCGGGACGGGTTTGAGCTGCAGAAACCACCTGCCTCACCTGCCCCTGGAGGGCCTGCCGGGGCCTGCTCTCACCAGGGACCCCTCCTCTGCCTCTGTCCCTTGTTTCCTTCCGTGACGTGGAACATCTCCGACTGGAGGCCGTTCCACCGGGATGTTGTAGGATCGCACTAGGAAGCAAACATCCCCTGGTTCCTTTTTCTTCTCTTTTCCTTTTCCTCTTCTTTTTTTTGGGGGGGAAGGAGGGGGGCGCTGAGGATGGAACCAAGGGCTCAGCACATCGCTAAGTCCCCTCCCCCAGTCAGCCCTCCCCACCAGTGTCAGCCACGTGACAGTGCAAGGCGCCTTCTCACTCCAGGAACTTGTCCCAGGTCTCTGTCATCCTCACTCTGGAAGCAGCCCGCCATCTTGAATGTCGCGGTCGCACGCATCTCCTCTTCAAGTGCTCAGAAGTGACACCTGTCACCTCGGCTTCCATTTCGCAGGCCAGAGCAAGCGTCAAGGCCACACCTAACCCCAGGTGGCTAGGCACGGGCCAACCATGTACCCTGGAGGGAAGGGACAAGGCCTATCTGCGAGGGCCACTGCTGAAGATCTCATGGTCTTGCAGGTGCCGCATCAGGCCCCGAGAGACGGCTGCAGAAGGGAGTAGTCTCTCCTCTCCACCCTCAGGGTTAGGTGCAAGGAGCAGGTAGAAAAGGTGGATGCAGATGGCGCTGCAGGGGGCCAGGCTCCAGGGAAGGAGTCCCAGGGAACCACAGGAGGGTGACAGGGACCTGGCCTGGAGGGGCCGGACAGCCTGGGGCCCCTGGTGTTCCTTTGAGTCTCAGTGACTTCCTCTTCCACTTGGGATGATGGGGGTGGCGCCGTGGGAAAGGCTGAGCTCACCTCCGCGGAGCACTGGGGGGGGGCGCGGTCCACTGGGAATGCATTCGCACATTTTTTTTCAGAACAGCACCTGAGTTGCTTCTCACAGGTACACGCAGTTCCTGAGAACAGTGCCACCTTCTTGTGTCGGAACCAGGGTGTGGCCTCGCGGGGTGGCTTGCTGGGAGCTCCTGAGGGGCCACCCCGGCTCGGTGAACGTGGAGCAATTCCCCGGAAAACCCACGTGTGGGGGCAGGGGGCTCCCTCCTGGAAGTGGGCGGGACGATGCAGATGGGGTACGCCTGCGTCCCCTCCCCAGCTCCCTGCAAGCCCCAGCCCCAAGGCATCCATCACGGAGGACGCAGCGGATGAGCAAGGTGGCCCAGCTCTCTCTTCTCTTGGGGCTGTGTTCCAGGCAGGGATCTGGTCACTTTTGTGGTGGACAGTGTTGGTTGACCAGATGCTCCTAGGAGGTTGCTTTGACCATTCCTGTGTGTCTGTCCCTCAGCTTCTGGGTACTTTGCTTCCAAGGGTGGGCCTCTACTTGTGACTCTCTCTGAGCTGGTGTGCCACCTGTGCAGAGCACGGGAAGGGCCGCAGGTCACACACCCGCAGAGGCAGCCGGAGGCGTGACCTGTGAGCCCCTAGATGTGGCTCCACGGCAGAGCTCTCCCGCGGCTCATGCCAGGCCCAGGCTCTGCTTGAACTTGGTCCTTGCTGAACCCTCTCCTTTTCTTGGTCCTGCTGTCCCACCCCTGTGGGAGCTTCTCCCAGGGGCACCTCCTAAAATCAGCAGCATGGAGCCCTCCATCTCAGGAACTTCTCTGGAGAACATGTCCCGGAGACCTCCCTGAAGCCCAGCTCCTTCTTTCCTTCTTTGCTCACCTCACCCTGGATTCGGCTAGCAGGGAGCTGGTGACTCAGATGTAGCCAAGGGCACAAGATGGGTTATCTGCAGGGGGCTTCTAGAAATGGTTTTCTTAAAATAATACACAGGAAGGGCATCTACTTGCCCTACTGGACACACAACTGCATGTGATGGCTGGAACCCTGGCAGCCACACTGAGGAAACAAATTAACATGCTGGGGATGGCCTGGTTAGCTCAAAACCGAAAGGCACTTGGGTCCTGGGTGACACTGGCAAGGTTCAGAATTTATCAGTCTGGGACCAGATATGTAGTCCTGTTAAATGATAAATCCCCTATTTGCAAAACCATTCTAAGTCAGGTCTGCTCTTATTTGCAACCCAGAACACCCTAAGGATATCATTTTAGATGGTAATACGGTGCTGAGCGGGTGGGTCCTTCCAGGACTCTCTTGTCAGGTGGGTTCCACGGGGTTTCTGTCAAGTATAAGGTTTGGGATAAATTACACACCATCACAGAGCACGGGGGAAGGAACAGGCTTTGCTGGAAAAGAGAAAGCTTAGAGTCGGCAGGCAGAACAAAGGAAGGCTCCAGTTAGATGCAGGGGAGGACTTCAAGAGTGCAGGATCGCAGCCTCATTATTCTCCCCATATCCGACCTGTCTCCCCAAACATGGTTTTCTCCCTGTGGACTCCGTACATCTTGTTTTCTTCTTTGCTATGGCCACCAGGAAGCTCGAGGCTGGATCAGGGTATGGACGTTTGTACCTCGCAGAGGCGTCCCTCTTCAGGCAGCGATACCTCCTTTTCCCTGTGCTTCAAGTTCTTCACCCCCCCCCTCCCTGCCTCTGCTGGGCTCTGAGTGTGTCTGCAAGTTCTGTTGGTTGTTCTTTGGAGCAAAGCAGGATATGCCTTGGCTGGTCCGTGGGCCCCCGAACCTACCCCTGGAGCCACCCTGGGGAAGTCCTTCTGAGTGGCCCCCCAGGCATCTGGCAGACCGGGGACAGCTGAGAGGCTCTTGCTGGTTGCTTCGGGGTCTTTCAGCCACCCTGTCAGCTGCCCCCCAACATTCCTTCCCTAGGCTAACGGGGGAAAGATGGTTCTGTCCTGGTCCAAATGCCGGGTCTGGCCAAGGAGGTGGAAAACCCTTTGAAAATCCCAATAAATAAATAAAAATAACTTTGAGCGCTTGTCACCATGGAGACCAAAGGCTTGGCTGGTTGTCATGGCGACCCCTGGGCAGGCTCTCTGCCTGAAATGATCAGCAACTCTGAGAAAGAAAGGCCAAGAGGTGGAGAGTCAGGACCGCGGGCCCCAGGGTGAGAGCCGGGGGGAGGGGGCAGCGGATTTCTCCAGGCAGGTCGCGAACCAGGGCGGGGTGGCCTGACGGTCGGCGGTGGGCCAGGGAGAGCGCACTGTTTTCTGGAACTTTCTTTCCTGGCAAGCTGCCAGTCCTTCTTTACATTATTCCAAGAGGCTCTTGAGCCCTCACCTCCTGTGCCCGGTGCCCAGGCTGGGAGGGGTCCTGCCAGGGCCTCCTCGTTGGCAAGGCTGCCAGGGAGTCACCATGACAACACCAGCCCCCACTGTGGGAGCCGAGCCCTTGCGGGTACCTGGGGGAGTTGCCTGGGTAACCAGGCTGCCTTGCCCCACTTCCCCACCAACCAAGCCTCCGCGGCCCTTCCCCCTCCCGGTGATGGGCAGGTGAGTGGACTGGTCACCATGGAGACCCAGCTCCCCTCCCACCCCCCCTTTCCAGAGCACCTGCCTTGAGACAGCCGTCAGAAGAGAACCGCGAAAGAGGGGCTGCTGGGCGAGGAGACCCTTCTCTGGCCGTGAAACAACATCCGGGTTATTTTGTTTGTAATATCTGTTTTTTAGTTGTAGATGGACACGATACCTTTATTTTATTCACTTATTTTTATGTGGTGCCGGGGATCGAACCCAGGGCCTCACGCATGCTAGGCCAGTGCTCTACCACTGGGCCACCACCCCAGCCCCAGGATTCTTCTTTCTTTCTTTTTTTTTTTTTTATATATATTTGTTTTGTAGCTGTAGTTGGACACAATTCCTCTATTTTATTTACTTATTTTTACGTGGCGCTGAGGATCGAACCCAGGGCCCAGCGCTGGCTTCCCCACCCAGGCAGGTGCCCAGTTGGCCCTCCTGCTGGGTCTCCTGGGCTCTGTGGAGGAGTCGGCCGGGGGCGCAGGGCAGGGGCTGAGCAGGGACCTTCTGGCCCTGCCCTGCGCTCCCCAGCTGCGGCCCCGGGGTTTTGGGCAGTCAGAACTCAGGTGGTGCCGGTGCTGGTTGCCCCAACTCGAGGCACTGGTACCAGGTGTCGTTTTCTCTTGCTAATGGAAATACATAAAAACAAAATGCCCAGCTAGCAAGGCCGGCCGTCCCCAGGTCTCCATGGCAGGGGCCCACTCTCTGGGCTGGGCCCTCCTCCCCCACCCCCACCCCTGCCTCCTTGCCGCTGTCCCTGGGGGGCTTGTCAC